TATTTTGAGTCTCGTTTTGTTTTTGATTTTTTTTTAAATAATTTAAATGCCAAAAATATACAAATAAAAATATGGGGATGTAGAGAGGAAAAAAACCTACACCCCCATATTTTTTTATTTATTTTTTAGTTATTTTTTGGCGGCGAAAAAAAATTCCGTGGGCCAAGTTGTACCACGTTGTAACGGGGTATAGCGCGGACTTGAAACGGGGGTTCAACGGGAGTTGAACTGTTCAACTCCAAACCCCCGTTGAATCGGATTTCGGACACACAGCCGAGGACGACGCCCTTATGGACGACTCCAATGGGCAGCATCGGTAAGCGGAGCAAGGACCGGTATGAGTGGGTGCACGATCGGATGGCGGAGCTGGGGTTTCCGCACAGGTCGGCGGAGGATTGTCGTAAGAAGTGGCAGGGCATGATGGCTGCCGCGAAGTTGATTCTCGACAAGTGTTAGAATGCTTCGGGGAAACCTTCCTACTGGGACATGACCCTTGAGGAGCGGAAGGCGGAGCAGGTTCCACTAGGCTTTGAGAAAGCTCTGTGGGAAGCGATGGAGTGGAAACTGAATCGGCCTTCCATCAAGTGCGACAAGACGCTGGCGTCGGAGAACCTGCCAGCTAACACGGGGGGAAATTCTTCGAGCAGCGGTCCTGCACGGCCGTCGTCGGGGAGGAGCGCTTCTGACGGGAAAGCAACAGAGGATTCGGACCACGCAGCGAAGACACGGAGGACAAACACCGACAAAGCGAGGATGGACGACACGATCAGCGGAGGTACAGCATTGGGTAGGGCGATGGAGGACGTGACAAGGTCTTACGGCGAGGGTTTGGATAAGGCCGTTGCAAGTCTGGCGAGGGCGGCGTCGGAGGCAGGCTCGGCGATTGCGGCGAAGATCGGTGACGTGGCAGATGCCATGCTTGGCGGAAACACTGTCCTTGAGATGCTCGTGGGGGTTCTCGCAAGGCGTGGAGGTGGGGGGAACAATGCTGCATACGATAGGGGGGATACAGACCCCTCTTCGCGGTAATATATATATATATATATATATATATATAAAGATGGGTACCGGCTGTCGTTTCCCACCCCCGACGTCCACAACGGCCGTCCCCTCCCTTGTCCTGTCACCACCAACCGGTGTGTACAAATTTGCGGACACACCACTTGATGGTGACCGGACAAGTGATGGGACACCCGTCGTGGATGTCGGGACGAGGAAACGACAGTCGACACCCGTCTTGCCCGTTGTGCACGTGTGTTTGTGGCCGGTGCCTGCGTATATATACGTGGGCAGTCGCGGCTTCGCTGGGCAGCGCAGTCGTTGGTGGGCGTTCTTCAGTCGACGACGAATTCGTCGCGAAACGCGGAGTTGCCTGCACGTGAAGGCAGAGAGAGAGAGAGAGAGAGAGAGAGAGAGAGAGAGAGAGAGAGAGAGAGAGAGAGAGAGAGA